TTAATTTTAGTAAATAACTTTCTAAAAGTCTTACCAATATACTCTCTCAAATATTTACCTGGATTATCTCTGTAACTGTTTATTTTAGCAAACATAAATTTATAAGTTTTTAAAAATGAATTGGAATAGTTTATTTAGGACACTAGCTATCTCATATGTCCATTATTAATGAATAATATTAATAATACACATATGAACAGATTGTTTTCTACAGAAATAGGTATATATTAGGGACAGACTGAGAACAATTTCTCACAGGGAAGACTTTATTCTTACAGTAAGATTCACATATTGTCAGTAAGATGAGCTAAATACTAATCACTTGGATAAAAAATAACAATATATTATCACAAAGTTATCTGAGGTAAAGTAAATAATAACCATTGTATTAAAGCTAACAAATAAAGGACAGTATCTCAAAGTGTCTAAGCTTTATAAAGGAGTATTTAATTTTCTAACCAGATATGATTATGCTAATATTTTCAAAGCAGTCACTAGTATTATTATAAATCATGTGGATTAAGAGAATTCACCTACTCCATTCTATACCTTCCTTCTCATGCCCCAAATACACACATGCACACACACATCCCCATAGTATAACCTTAATCTGAATTAGTTAAATCTTAGATGTTAAAATTACTAATTTACTGATTTTTTTTTGTTGTTTTTGAGACAAAAACATAAAATGTTTTGATTGAGACAAAACATTTTTTTGTTTTTGAGACATATCACTATGTCGCCCTTGGCAGAGTGCCGAGGAGTCATAGCTCACAGAAAACTCAAACTCTTGGGCTTAAATGATTCTTTTGCCTCCACCTCCCGAGTAGCTGGGACTATAGGTGCCCACAACAATGCCTGGATATTTTTTGGTTGCAGTTGTCATTGTTGTTTAGCAGGCCCAGGCCAGCCTCAAACCTGCCAGCCTTGGTGTATGTGGCAGGTGCCCTACTTACCGAGCTACAGGCGCTGAGCTTAATTTACTGATTTGTAGAGTGTTTGGGCTGTAGGTCAAGTGGTATTTAAATAATCACTATATATAAGATTTTTTGCTAAGCACTATATATTTGTTTTCATACTTATTCTTCCCACAACACTAAAGTTTGGGATTGTTATATTGATTTTAGAAAGAAAGCTATGAACAAAATATCTTAACTATTTTCATTATTTTCTTCTTCAGGTGGCAATTTCATTTTAGAACCCAGTTATTTCCTTATACTTTCCACTATTCTGTGCTACATAGAAATATTATTGTTTTAATAGATGACCTCAAAATTTCTGCCTCTTGTGAAATTCTAGAATCGCATATAATAATATGAGCCAGAATCTGTGTAACTTATAACTGTAAGGTCAGACATTTCCTCAGTTAAATGTGACCCATTTAATAGGATAATGTCCAGGATCCCCATAGAAGACTTCACTAAAATAGCCATTAAAATGCTGCATTGTTATCCTCTGATCTTTAAACCAGTTTTGCTAAATTGGGGAAAACTTTAATTTTATTGATTTATGTCCCATGGTATTTCAAAAATGTGAAGAAAACAATACACATTTTAATTTAATCTTAAAAAATTTCTATTCTCTATAAATTTATTAATGTAAATATCTCACAATGAGGGCTGTTGCCATTGCCTTAAAGATTCAAACAATAATATATGGCTTGAATGATTTCTAATGCTGTTTTCTTAAGCTGCATTCCAGTAACTCTGTGAGTTGTATGCAAAATAATATATGTGTAAAATTTGTTATGTGGTAGGCATTATTTAAAAGATTTAACATATCTAAATACTACGTGACTTAATTTAAGGTAATATGGATAATTGAGTACTCATAAGAATGTATCTACCTATTTTGTATCTTTGCCTATATGCAGATTAAATTGGGTGTTAAGCTGTACAGGGTTTCAACAGTTGAACTTATGGGCTTTGTTCAATATTTGGACTTCTAAAAAGTTCCAAAAATACTAACAACTTATTAAACCTGGTCTCAAGAGAAAAGATAAAGTTAGCTTTTGTAGAGGGTGAGGATGGGGAGAAGAATAATTTTCCAGCCAGCAAGTAGCCATGATTACAATCCTGTGATTTTATTCTATTATTGGCTGAACATAGATTAATGTACTTGTCTCCACTGTTTCAATGTATAATGCATGAACACAATTAACTAGGGTGATTTAGAAACAGGATGCCTTTAATCTTCTGCTCAGATCAATCATTTGCAATACATAGGTTATAAAATGTCCCATGATTTTACACTGAATCCTCAGTACAAGTAATCTTAGAGCTAAATGAATTTGGAAAAAATGTGAAGTCCTCAGAACTTACTCAGACATAACATGGCCAATGGAACTTAACTAATGTGTGTTTAATTAACCAATCCAAACAAACAGAGACCATTCTGAAACTTGTAGAGAAAGAGAGGATACTTCAGGGATGGGAAAATATCTTGCCCTTTCGAAGAAAGTGGAACTCAAGGGTTTCCAGACTCACATTTTCCTTCTGCATATCAATACATCTTGTCATATGAAGAAAAACTTTGTGTTTCAAACTGTATTTGGAAGTGCCTACTACCTTCAGGTAATATTAATTCACTGTTTATATGTGATTTTTAAAAAACAAGTATTAGCTATAACCTACTGTTTTATTATTAAGCTGTGAAATCAAAATTACAGTACAACTGTATACATGAAACTTTAATTAAAAACACACGTTATGCAATTTGTTCAGTTTTCTCTGGAGTTTTTGATGCACTTGGAAGAAAAATGAACTGGGGTCTCATTAAGAAGAAATGTGTCATAGAAGTGGGGTGCAAGTAGCACTGTGTGTGTCTGTGGGTATTCAATAACGAGTGGAGGATGTGAACATACTAGGGCCATTTGCTTGAGTTTGCAGTTCTATTGCCTGTGGTTGGTTATAGGCAGAGAGCGTTTGCTAACAGTAGAGCTGAGTCAGAACCATGGAGAGCTCTACACATTCAGCACCTGGGAGAGGAACTCTTGTCTTGCAAACCAAGCTGCCTTTAGAGAACAGAATTACACAATGACCTACCTATAAAGAAAAAAAGGCGAGAGAGAGAGAAAATTAAGTCGCACATCGAAGAATGTTGCCTTTCTATATTATGACAGAAGCAACCTTAACAGATTCAGGAAATCTCAAGCTACCCTAAGAGCCTAGGCGCTGTCATAGGTTGCTTCTTTTTAAAGTAAAACTAATCGTAAAATTCCACATTCCAAGGCAATGTCTTCATTTGATTCACTTGCATGATTTTGATAAGAATTGATTAGGTCTTTGTTTTTGGTTGTTTTTTTTTTAATTTTTGATTTACAATTTGGGGAACATGAAGTAAAAGTTGTATGTTTATTTCTTTATTATTTATTGCAATCCACATGATTCACTTTCCTAAATGAATCCTACTTCTCAGCCCTTCTTGGTTCTACCCTCATTATTTCACTTCACATTTAAAGCTGCAACTGGGAAAATATAAACCATTCCGACTCAAGGCACCACTGAAGCAGGCTGACGGGCTGCAGGTACACCCAAAATTGTACCATGCGATGACAGGTTTTGATAAGGGTCTCTGGACGCTCAGCGAGATTTGTCCTGTTCTACTTCTGTAAGCTGAAGTGGTGGCAAATTCCATTTAGAACAAGGGCACGGAGGGTTAAAAGCGGAGATAACAAACGGAAAGTAAGCAAGAAAAACTAGAAAAACAAGTTTGAAAACACGTTTTCCTTGCATGGCTTGTCACGTTTGTTTTCCTAAGTCCCCGGAAAGATGATTTGGAGAGAAAAGTGTGTGTATACCCTGAGATTCCCACGTTGGCAGCCTCTGAGAGCCAAAAATGAGGAGGACCCCTGTATCCTTTCTACCCTAAACCAGATGATTTCTTATAAATGACAGAGGAGAGCGGAATGATGTAGTCAGTGCGTTCAGGAATGAGTGGCGTGGGAGGTCACAGGAAGGCTGACAACTCTTAGCTCCACCCACCTTTTGTTCCTTCCCCCTGGCGCCCAGCCTCGCCCATTTCAAACTCTTTCCTGGTTTTGTGCCAGTGACTCGCACAGTCTTCTCATCTTCTGGCTTTCCCATCTTCTCGCAGCCTTCGGAACCTGGAGACCCGATCCCTCCCCAGCACCGCAGCCCCACGGGGGCTCGAGCCGCGGATCTGGGCATGCTCCCCGGCGCGGGCGGGCGGGCAGCTGGGCTCTTCCCGGGCGCCGCTCCGCGCTGCTCGGGGACCCGCGTGCCAGTTTAGTTCGGGCTTCAGCGCCCACCCTCGCTAAGCCCGGGGAGCCGAGCTGCGCTCTGAGGCTAAACTGCACCCTTAAGTGGCTCATCCTCGATCTTCAACCTCCTGAGCGCCAACAGAGCGTCCAAATATTCCTTCGGAGGGACTGTTTTCCCACCTGTCTTTTCTTGGCAGCTAAGGTTGCATTAGCTACTGCGGCGTGAGGAGCTCAGGGATGGAGCCCCTGGGGCTGGTGGCCGTGGAGATCATTTTCCCAGAGTAGCTGTTGGTCACTCAGTTTTGGAGATTTCTTGGCTGGCTTCCGCTAAGGCACGCTTGAGTAATCCGAGCTGTGGCGGCGCCCAGGCTCTCGGGATAAAGGGAGTGTGTGTTCTTGCGCGTGTGCCCGCGTGCGTGCGTGTGTGTGTGAGTGTGTGTGTGTGTAGGGGGATAGGGCGGAGATAGAAACGTCACCCCTCCCCCCAACCCCAGTCTCCTTTTCTTTCTCCCCTTCCTACAAAAGCCGCAGAAGTCTTCCATCCCCCTCAATCCCCCACCCCACCCCCAGCCCTCCTCGCGGCTCTGGGCAACTGCCAGGTTAAGCCCATTTGCACTGGGAAATTGGCGCTGTTTGGGAGAAGAGAAACAGATCGATTGCCCTTGTGACTCCCCGCCCCCTTCCCACCCCACCCCCTCCGCGCCCTCCCGCCTTCCCTCCCCCGCCGCCTCCCCTCTCCCCGCCTCCTTCCCTCTCCCCACCCCCAGCCCTCTCGCCCGCGGCAGTCCAGCGCCAGGCCCCCTCCGGGAGGTGAGGGGAATGGATTGGACTTCGGTGGGGAAAGCGGGTGTCTAGAAGTGGTGCTAATGGGAAGAGAATCCTGGTTTCCAAAGAGGATGCTCTGCCACAAAGAGCGGCTCGCGCGCTGGCCTGGGCTCTAGCGGAGGAGCGATCCCGGGAGAACTCCAGAGCTCGGGGGAGCGCTCCTCGGAAGACGGGTCACCATGCCTGTGCGCAGGGGGCATGTGGCACCACAAAACACATTTCTGGGGACCATCATACGGAAATTTGAAGGGCAAAGTAAGTTCATTTGTTCTTTTTCCTCTCCCTCGCTTTCTGCTTCAGAAGAGCACTTGGCGTCCTCCGCTTCCAAGCTGGGGAGACCGGCAACTCCAGCTCTGTCAAGTTAAGGGCTGGGAAACCGAGCCAGGAGGTTCCAAAGGCAGCGGGAGCGTTCGCCTTCTGATACCAATTTTGATTTACATTTTAGATTATGGTCTCCATTATAGGAGGCAATTTGATCCTCCTCTCCCACTGCTCCATTATCTGCCTTGCTACTTAATGCCCTACTATTCTACTATCTTAAAGGGAACGTGCTAGTATAACACGGTTTTACATTTTGAGGCTGTTTTACCGTAGACTTTTTGAAAGTCGGGAGCAGAGCAGACCAACCTCTTCGATCAAGAGAATGTAAATGGTAGTAGCGATGTAAACAGCCATGCAAACTATATTTTACCTTGGTTAAATTGCTGGGCCGTGGTGTGACGGAGATGCTTCCTTGCTGGCAGTTTATAGAAGCTAAACTTTGTGTTGAATCAATGCAAATATATCCCAAGCAAGATAATTTGGGAATGCAGTATATCATCTGTGCTGGTTCCCAATGCAAATGGCTCATTATTCAAAAGAATATTTCTGTCCTTTTATTATCCCCTTAAATTTTCCCATATAGAAATTTAAAAACAAGTGTAAGAAGTAAATCCCACATGTACTGACTGCAGGGAAATTTAATGTTCTCATGTATACTAAATATGAGGACTGAATTGTTGTTAATTAAATATATTAATTTAAATCCATATACTTGTTAATTAATATTTTACTTTTCCTGAAACAATGTTAACACGTTTATGTCATGTATTTTGCCGTATTTCAGCACTGCCCTTAGTGATGTGAGTGTCTTGTACCTGGTGTGCAAAATAAACTCATATATCCTGCTTCATATTTTATCTGGAAGTAGTAAATATAGTCCTCAATCAAAATTGATAAGCTCTTTGTACTAAAATATACTCATCTACAAAAATTCAAGTTTCCCCAAAGTAAAAGTGAAAAGGTTTTAACATGATATTTACTCTGTGTGTGTGTGTGAGTGTGTGTGTATGTATAAATAGTTTTCTTTTGGTAAACATATTCTGAAAGGTGACCTTTGCATTGTTGAACTGCTAATGAATGGAAGGTAGTTTCATTGTTAAAGCTAGTTGTCTTTTTTTAAAAAAGCATCATAGGTGTAATATGACTTAGAACTGCCAAAAAATAATAACTACTTGGAGAAAGTTATATTCTAAGGGTCAAGGTTGAAGTGAGGAATCTGACAAACTACAGGCTGTTTCATTGTTTTGATTTTATATCATTTACCTTAAAATTAAGTGGCATTCTGGAAATATCAATGGGTCAGCTGCTTATCTGAGTGTCCACTGGGACCCGTGGGAGTTGCAGTGATTGAAAACTAGACAATTGGGAAATTATATTCTCGCAATGTGAAGAGTGGCTTCTTCATACTTTTTGGTAAAGTTACTTAGGACCGTTAAGCTCATATTTAAAGTTTGTGGGGGGTTTTGTGATTCCTTTTTCTCATAAAAGCCAGGGCCATTAGTAATTTGGGGAAGTGCCTGCACTTTACACTTCTTATGCAACAAATTGCTTCTGAGTTAATGAGAATAGTATGAAAGCTTTTCAAAAGATGCCTTCCTTTCTTCTTATTACAGACAAAAAATTTATCATTGCAAATGCCAGAGTGCAGAACTGTGCCATCATCTATTGCAATGATGGGTTCTGCGAGATGACTGGTTTCTCGAGGCCAGATGTCATGCAGAAGCCATGCACCTGCGACTTTCTCCACGGGCCTGAGACCAAGAGACATGATATTGCCCAAATTGCCCAGGCATTGCTGGGGTCAGAAGAGAGGAAAGTGGAGGTCACCTACTACCACAAAAATGGTAACGTTGATCTATTTCAGGATTTTTTTTAGTCCATTGAAAAGACATTTTGATTATTTAAAGTTCATATGCAGAGAATCCCCAAGTATTTAATTATAGAAATACTCTTCGTTTTTAATTTCTGGGGACCCAAGAAGTATAGATATTTTTATTTGTGGTATAGTAGAAACAACTTCTTCTTTGAATAAGGATATTCTTCTTGAATTCTTCAGAAGTACAGTAACTTATTATCACACAGGACAAAATGCTATAAGTCACTCTTCCACACTCTTCTCTCTCGGGGATAGTATAAAGACTACTAATTTACTACTTATGTTGATGCATATTTGTTAGGAGAGAAATACAGAGTTGCATTTTGCTTGAACTTGAAAACACAAAGCAAAGTCTTGTTGAAAACTCTATACCTGAAATTAGAACTATTATGGGTGTTTATTGGTTTTAGTTTTATTCGATAGGCAAAAATCTCTTGTTTCTTTTGCTTCTCTTTATGTAAGATTAAGGATGGTAAATAGGAACTTCTAAAATTAGTCCAGTTAAACTATGTATGGTCAAATAACAAAGATTGTTCATGTATTTAAGTTGTGTCCTAAAATAAGAAGTGTAGAAAAGGCACCATGACACTGTAGAGTTTAGTATTCATTTATAAAGGTGTAGCAAAACTAGCATTTTAAACTTATACCTTAACTTCAAGGACTTACCTTCTTCTTCAAAGCTTGCTATAAAACAATAATAGACTTAGAACTAAAAAATATAAATTTAATGGACATGCATGCCTTAAATACGTGAAATGTTTGTGTATGAACCCACGTGTGTGAATACTCAGATATACCCATTTTAAGGTTTATACATTCTCACACGTGCACATTTAATGCTACTTGACAACTTAGCACTTAAAGGTAAACAATTATTTTGAAAATTCACATTTAATTAATTTTGTTTATATTACATCAATATGTATTTATTTTAATTCTATTAACAGAAATTAGTGAGGCAGAGGGGTACTGGTTCAGATTTTTAGAAAACCTTTAAGTTTTTGGAAAATGTGTGTTATGCTGTGGCCTATATCATATAATGACTCATCATTTGGTAAACTGGAGAGAAATAAATACAGCAGGGGAAAGGTTCAATGCTTACTCTTATTTTCTTATAATTAAACATTTCGTCATAAAAATGTATAATTCTTAATTACTGTATTTTACTTAATTTGAAACCCGAGTGAGTATGTATAACAAAGCATTACTGGAAAAGCAGGTTTGTATAATTTTGTATTAATCTGGAATGAAAGAAATTATATGATTATCAAGCAACACAGAGATTATTTTTAAAATTCTTCCCATTCTTCCCCCCACTTTTCAATCAGTAGAATTGGCATACTAGAAATAGCCTAATTGCTCTGCTGTCTTGAAAATATTTATTGGACCGAGACTCTCACTACCCAAATGCAACTTCTCTCCACTGTGTATTTGATGCCAACAATCTGGACTTTTGGAACAATTTGAATGTCTGACATTTTTTCTTATCTGAATATTTGTTATAATGTCAACACAATCTATATTGTGGTTACTTCAGGGAATGTTGATCCATCTTTGCTCATTTTGTTTTCTAGAACATTTCAACTTTTTTACAACTTACAGAATTTAAGTATAAATTTAATCTGGACTGCCTGAATTACTTAGATACTAAATATATTTCTCAGAATGTTTTCAAATAGAAGTTGTTTTCTATTACACTGAGAGGAGAGTGGTGATGTTTTGAAACTTGTACCATGTGAGTATATAAAATGATGGCAAAACACCTTTAAAAGGCAATTTAATATGGAATCATAATCATTATTGTCAAACTTTCTGGACTAAAGATGTTAGTACATTGACTAATGCATATATTGCCATCTGAACAATTTACTTGGTTATCTCAATCAAAAGTCTCCTATATTTGGAAGAGGAATATTTATTTGCAAGCTTATTTAGGTATAAAGCTTTATCTTTTGGTGACAATTTTGTTTCTGTTAACTACTTTTTCAGATGTAATTCAGTCTTCAAAGACTTGGATATCTTTAGAGTTAACAACAAACTCTGCCTATTTTGCTTTAATTTACCTGGGGAACATGAGGTGATGGGGCAAGCCTTTTCTTTTTTTTTCCATAGGCAAAAATATAAATTTGAATGACCTTTTTATATTGCGAAGACACAGTCATACTTGTTTGCTTGGATAGTAATAAACCTTGTTTTGGCTGCTAGTTCAGATACCTCTAATGGAATCTTCAGAGGGCATTGGTTTTATTCATATGGCAACTGCAAAATAACTCAAAGCTTAGGAAGTTCAAAAGCTTTGATAGTCTTGCCTCTTAGAGCACTGCCAGCCACTCTCCATTTATAAAAGCAGGCAAGGTGAAAAATCCCCCATATTTTTATAGGTTCATTTCTCTACGTTTCCTTAATTGTTTATCATTGAGCTCATTGACTTTTGAGAGTTTCTTGATTTCTTAATTGTATACAATAAATGCCTTCTTTACTTATTCCTTTAATTTTGCCATTTCGTGGGAATATGAAGAGTAATACGTACAATGAGCAAATTAACAAAAGTTGAGATATTCTGTTTCCAGTTTTTCCATTTGCTTTTACTAGAATAGCAAATATATTAGGAAGGCATTATTTCTGAAAGCTTGTTCTCCAGAGTGGCCCAGAGGCTTACTAAGCAGTTTGGGTCCATGATCTACACAGTGAGTTTACAGTGACGCAGTGCATGGTGCCCATGGTCACCAGTGGGAACACTTCCTCCCGTGCTCCTCTGTGTGATTGCGCTGGGAGCACCCAGAGTTGCAGTTTACCAGAATACTCATTTTTTTAAACTAGTTATTTGCAATAGGACTATTTGACAGCTCTTCCTTTGAGGATTCTATTTTACAGTTTTATTGCATAAATCATTCTTGGCAGCTGTAAAATATTGCTTGAGGTGATGAAACTGTAAATTTTTTGACATAAAATTCTAATTACACAAAACTATAATTATGCTGAGGCTTATATAAGGGTGGGCATGTATTGTGATAGGATAATACATTCACTTTAAAAATACCGTTTTAGCAATAGTGATTGAGAAATAGCAAACAATTCAGCTATTAACTGGTTCACGGTTTGTAAATGATGAGAACAGAAAGGAAACAGAATAAAAATAGTTTAGATGGCCTTTCCTAAGTTTATTTTCATCTGATTTGGACTATGTCATGAAATGGAGCGAGGTGGCTGAAGTGCTGATCCCCTTTAGGCATATCTAGATATGTTACTTTGATCTTAAATTATCAAGCAAATTTAAAGATTTGGAAAATCAAAGTAAATTTCTCCAGGAGAAATGGAGGTCTTTATCAGGAGGAAAGCAAGGCTTCAAATGTATGATTTTTAGAGGTCAGACCATTCCTGTGTTTTGGTCACTATGCTTTCGGACACAGTGCAATGGCAAGTTTGTTAGCAAACCAGATATGTGGAGAGCTCCCTGTCTTATCTTCCTGTTGCATTTAAATAACTGAAGAATGAGAAGGGACTGAGGGAAGTCCTTTGCCTAATTCAGGCAGTGAAAGTTGTAGAAGCAGTGCTTGATTCCACTAGCTCAGAAGAGGTGTTGGTCTGATAAACTAATCTACCATGTCTGAAAATTATGTAGCCATACCTTCTAGAAAGTGATGTGTTTTTGTGAGTAAAGGAGAAGCTGGATATTGGGAGCCACATCTGTCTAGTGTGACGTAATGTATTAGGCACTAGAAAAACAATAGGAAAAGATGCAAAAATGATTCAATCCAGTTGATAGTGTGACTAATGTTCATTTCTACCTTCTAAACCTCAGATGTTCAATAAGATTTTTTGAAAATGAATATATGGACTATGAAATGAAGAAGCTTTTACATGCATGGAGAACTTATAAGATTTATAAGTACCTTAACCCCTCTATTATACAACTTTAAAATAAACTTGCTTAGGTGTATCTCCTGTCACCTTTAGTCTTGTATACACAATAATAATTTGTCCAAGAAGCAATCCGGTTTAGTTTAAATGGTAACATTATAAACATAAACCTCATAATAGCTTTATATGTTATATGCCATGTGAAATATTCAACACTCCTAATTCTTGGATTGTATAGTAGAGGTACAGATGGTAGTTTTTAGACAAGGACAGAAATATATTTTATATGTATGTAATTTAAGCCATAAGAAAAATTTCCAGGAAGTATCTTGCCTAGAACTTACTTGAGTATTCATCTTATCTTTGTTTATATGTTTTCATGTTCTCTTCAGTAGGATATTGGAATAGCTGTAATCTAAAAATTCATTTTTTCCACTCACAAGTTTTATAACATCCCATGGACTTTGGATATTATGTAAAATTCAAATGTGATCAATTATATCTGAAAATATGCATTCTCAAGAAACACTCTTCCCCACAATTTGAAAACTTTATTTCAATATTGTCCAAAGTGAAACAAAAATGTCCTAAAATTGTGGATCAGCTCTATTCATCAGTTTTTTTTCACCACCCACCAACACCATACATTTATGAAGCTCTAGTGCCAACAAGAAGCCATGTTGTTGGCCAACATGAGAGATGACTGCTCAGTTATTTTCACATCCAAGGTGCTTGAGAACACGTCAGTTTAGGACTATAGTCCTATCATAGGCTTACAGGGAGGAATTTGGTTCTACTGGCCTTCTTCTGGCATATAGTTGGAGAATATCATCTACTTTTTTCTTTAACTATAAACAGTCACTGAATCCATTGTTGGCAGCCAGCCAGAAGGAAAGTCTTGGGATAGTTGAGCCACAGGGAAGTACAGTTGGACTATGAAACACTGAGAAAAATCCTCTTTTACCTGGGCGTCTAAACTAGAGCCTTGGTGTCATTTCCTGTTTTTCAATCTTCCTCTCCTCCCTCCTTGATCACCAAATACTTTCAGTATTTACATCTGAAATATTTCTCAGGGCCGCCCCTCCTCCTCCACCCCCTTTAAAGTCC